TTTGTATCATTCTTGCTGTTTTTTAGTGAGTTTTTTGCCTCCTCGTTGTTGTCAACTATAATGAATAGGGGCGAAATTGCGGACATGTTTTAATTGTTTTTGTTCTAATTCGGTTTTTTTGGGTCTTTTTCTCTTACCCCCGACTAATCAAACTATTATTTTCAGTGGCAATTTTAAGCCGTTAATTAGCAAGGACATTAAGCAATTATTTCACCCTCCTTAATCGCATACAAACTAACTACTTTATTATTCCCGCGGTCATTGGTTTCAAATTCTAATTCTACTTCTTTAATATTCTGATAATCGGTAATTAAGTCCTTTCAGCCGTCTTTAACGGCTCCCGAGAAGCAAAAACCAGAAATCAGAATCACAAAAACCTTAAAAATACTATATTATGGTTCGCGATACTCAACAATATATCAATGGATTAGTTAATAAACCACGCATAACTTACCTAGATTTAAATAATAATCCACCCCAAACCAAAAATGATAATTGTCAAAAATGTAACGAGCAATTATCGGGCAAAGTGTTCTGCCAAAATCCAGTTTGTAATCCTCGCCAATTGGAAGGAGAAATTACCGATTTGAAAGAATTTAAAAACTTAAAAGGGATAAATGTTTCTAATAATAAACTCACTAATTTAAACTTTTTAGATACTTTACCTAATAAGGACAAATTAAAATCTCTCAATTTATTCGGCAATCAGATAAAAGAAGTAGATTTTGCTGAATTATTTACTAAATTTCCTAATTTAGAGAAAATAAACTTATCAGGCAATCCGCTAAAAGCAAAGAATTTGGATAATTTGTCTGCCGAACAATTTGGAAAACTGATAAATGGTATTAAAGAGAAAAAAATAAGTGTTAATTCTTTTAAAAGCACATTTTTAATGGACTTGCTAGAATACGCACAAAGATTAGCAGGACAAGGGAACCGACAACAGCAACAAAACGCTCAATATTTACAAACTCTTATTCAGAGAGGTAATTCGCCTGTTAAAACGGATGATAGTAAGCGACCCGGTAATAATACTCTCCTTTTAGTGGGTGGTTTAGTGGTTTTGGGAGCGGTGGTGTTAGCAATTGGTTATTTATGGGGTAAAAAAAGAAGTGAAGTAAAAGAAAGTTAAAATTAAATATATAATAAAAGTTGTTTATTTCTCCTGGTCAGCCAGGCGGTTTAGAGTTAGCGTAATTCCCTAGTTCCGAACTGGCTGGCTGGGAAAAGTAAATAACTCATGGGAATTACGCAAATTTTCCAAGAAGTAGTTGCTTATAACAAAACTAATTCTTGAAAGAAAAATAAAGAAAAATCAAAGTCTATCAGAAAAAGAGGGAGAATTTTTTTTATTTTTTTAACCTATTTTCAGAAAAAGTGGGGAATTATTTTCGTTTTTTTATAAGGAAGTTAGTTTTAGAAATTAACTTTCAAAAAAAGAGAATAATTTTAATCTTTTAAACTCTTTTTTGGGAAATTAATCTCGTTTATCCCACCATTAGCCAGCACGAAACACTGAACTAATGGCGAGCGAATACGGAAGTTAAGTGCCGTTTCTGCCTAAACAGCAAAACAAACTTATTCGGATATACGGATAAGCAGTGGTGATAACTGAGGGCAAAAGTCTTACAAAAATAAGAGCATTATCACAGTGAAAGCACCATCAGACTTAATTTGTAATCCAAGTTAAGCAGGTTGCCGGAGACTGATACCGAGAAATCTTAACTGACCGACCTCTCAAAATGAGAACCATAAACGGAGATACCTATCTCTTATATTAATTTTATGGTTTTGAAGTGAGGCGAGGGTGAGGTATAGCATTTTTTTTACCCTAATTTTCACCCTTTACTTATAAAATAAGTAAAAAATAACCAACCAGCCCGTTTTTTGCCCTCTCCTGCGCGCTTAATACTAGAAATATAAGAATAAGGGGGAGAGGAAGGGCGAAGCCCTGACGAGGGGGTTAAAAAAGAAAATTGAAAAACATTGAGGAATTGACCGCAATACTTAAAAAATTTTTCTTTGAAGTTGATTTTAAGGGGAATGTTAATGAAATCCAAAAAACTAATGAAATTCCAAGCAAAAATCTTTATAAATTCCTCAAACTAGAAAATATTCGGATAACCAGCAAGCAAGCCACAAAAAAGCCAATCATTACCGAGTTAATTACTTGGATAAATACCAAAATAAAGGCTTCTTTTTTATGGATAGTTATTTTAGAGATAAAAAAAACTTGATACATCCTAATTTAGTAGGTGATTTTTTGCTAATGAAAGGTCATAAGTATCAGTTTTTTTCCAAATTTGTTTAAAAACAATTCATATGCTTTATCCAGATATCAACTATTATTATTTTTGGTTAGAAAAGCCAACAATAATTAATGGCATTTTGATAAAAGAGGTGTATATTGATCCTTATTATGAAAAGCATAATGAGGAGTATTTGGAAGCCAAAAAGAAACAAGGAATAAAACTTACTTTGCAAGAGTTAACTGAAAGAATAATAACGAATGACTGAATTATTGAATTCATTCAGCAATTAGAGAAAAAAGAACTTCCAAATGGTAAAAGATATGATAAATGAGTATATTATCCTTATGAACCGCTTTGGAAATATCATAGGAGTTATTGTTTAATCTTTTGTTTTGAGGATAACAAAAATTATGTTGAAATAGTTGATTGCTATCGGGAAAGTAAATACGAACGAAAAAAATGGAAAAATAAAATTAAATAATAAATGTTATGGAAAAGGAAAAAAGAGTAATTAAAAATCACCCTCCCCAAGAGGTAATAAATAAAATTAGGGAGGAATTGTCGGCTCCCGATTATCCTTATAAAAATATTGGCTTAGGGGAAAATCCCTCGGCCGAGGAAAAAATAAAATATGAAATTTGTCAAACTATTGCTCGTTATAAAAGAGAAAATAATTTAACAGAAAGAGCGTTAGAAGCAAAAATGGGGGCTAATTCCCAATATACTCATGCTATTCTTTATGGCT